CCTGGTCGAGGACCGGGCCGCGGGGACACTAAAGCCCCGAAATCATCTCAAGATAACCTCAAGATAACTTCAGCCACGTTATCGCCTGCGTTCCAAAGTGTAGAATGGACGTTCTAAAAGCAATTTCTGGGGTGTGTATTCTCAGGAGTTTCAGCTTGTCAATGTCACCGTGATCGCTGCTATTTCCCACTACACCTCTTACAGCACAACACCCTCACCTCTGACAGGTGCCAGGAAAATGGCTTTTACGTGAACTCTGACCATTGTCGCCTTTTAGAAAGTCATATATCATCCATTACTTCCTTCTCGCTCGTGATAAACCAATAATTTTGGAGCGAGACCGAATTTTTTGCTTCGTTTGGTGAAGTGAAGTGAGGTTCTCTGGCTCTGTGCCTTGTCTAGTGGGGAAAAAGAATCGTAATATGATTTTAAGAGACTTATATGAGCTGAGTGTGATAAAAGGGCGATGCTCTCACCAAGCTAAGTGGGACTTTGACAATTACAAGCATTATAGATTTTTATGTCGAATCTCTATCATTGTATGGTATGAGGATGACTGATAATAATAATTTTAGAATAAAAATATATCTATATAACTGTCTGTTATATTATAGCTATATAATATAGGATAAATATTATATATAATATCTATATAATATTAGATTGGAGCTGCATCGTATGGGCCAATAGGCCTTCTGGAGTTGCCTTTGTTCTTATGTAATTAATATAAGGTGATATCTATAAACGGTTATATCATATATAGGATACATATTTATAATGTTGTTTCAAATTTAGCTAGTCAGAACGAAGTGTCCATGTAGCACGGGCTATGGTGAACCCGTAAAATATTTATAACCTATACATAGCTTATATCTAACCAATGCAAGGTAGGTTAGGTTAGGTTAGGTTAGGTTATATGTATATAACCTCCCCCACTCCCTTACCTTTGACTCCCTTGAGTTACACCATCCAAAATAACCCTTTTATACCCTTAACCCTTCGCACCCCCCCTTACCCCCCCTACCTAAGGGCCCCCTTATCCCCCCCCCCCCGTGACATGCCCAATAATCTATCTCATTTCGACAAAATCCCAAGACTGTCCGTCGGCAGTTTTCCATTTATTCAAAATTCCCTTTGGTGGCTGGCCGGGTGTCGGGTAATTCAATAGGAAACTGATGGAATTGGGGAATGGACATCGTCTCCGATGGCCTCAGTGTAGCATAGTTACGGGAGCCTCATCGTAGCATAGTGTTTGCTGGCCTCAGTGTAGTATAGTCATGCTGGCCTCAGTGTAGCATAGTTACGGGAGCCTCATCGTAGCATAGTGTTTGCTGGCCTCAGTGTAGTATAGTCATGCTGGCCTCAGTGTAGCATAGTTACGGGGGCCTCAGTGTAGCATAGTGTTTGCTGGCCTCAGTGTAGTATAGTCATGCTGGCCTCAGTGTAGCATAGTTACGGGGGCCTCAGTGTAGCATAGTGTTTGCTGGCCTCAGTGTAGCATAGTCATGCTGGCCTCAGTGTAGCATAGTCTCCGCTGGCCTCAGTGTAGCATAGTCTCCGCTGGCCTAAGTGTAGCATAGTCTCCGCTGGCCTCAGTGTAGCATAGTGTTTGCTGGCCTCACTGTAGCATAGTTACGCTGGCCTCAGTGTAGCATAGTCTCCACTGGTCTCAGTGTAGCATAGTGTCCGCTAGCCTCAGTGTAGCATAGTGTCTGCTGACCTCAGTGTAGCATAGTGTCCGCTGACCTCAGTGTTGCATAGTGTTCGCTGGCGTCAGTGTAGCATAGTGTTCGCTGGCCTCAGTGTAGCATAGTGTCCGCTGGCCTCAGTGTAGCATAGTGTCCGCTGGCCTCAGTGTAGCATAGTGTTCGCTGGCCTCAGTGTAGCATAGTGTTTGCTGGCCTCAGTGTAGCATAGTGTCCGCTGGCGTCAGTGTAGCATAGTGTCCGCTGGCCTCAGTGTAACATAGTGTTCGCTGGTCTCAGTGTAGCATAGTGTCCGCTGGCCTCAGTGTAGCATAGTGTTAGCTGGTCTCAGTGTAGCATAGTGTTCGCTGGCCTCAGTGTAGCATAGTGTTCGCTGGTCTCAGTGTAGCATAGTGTTCGCTGGCCTCAGTGTAGCATAGTGTTTGCTGGCCTCAGTGTAGCATAGTGTCCGCTGGCGTCAGTGTAGCATAGTGTCCGCTGGCCTCAGTGTAGCATAGTGTTCGCTGGCCTCAGTGTAGCATAGTGTCCGCTGGCCTCAGTGTAGCATAGTGTCCGCTGGCGTCAGTGTAGCATAGTTTCCGCTGGCCTCAGTGTAGCATAGTCATGCTGGCCTCAGTGTAGCATAGTGTCCTCTGGCCTCAGTTTAGCATAGTCTCCGCTGGCCTCAGTGTAGCATAGTCATGCTGGCCTCAGTGTAGCATAGTGTTCGCTGGCCTCAGTGTAGCATAGTGTCCTCTGGCCTCAGTGTAACATAGTTACGCTGGCCTCAGTGTAGCATAGTGTCCGCTGGCCTCAGTGTAGCATAGTCATGCTGGCCTCAGTGTAGCATAGTCTCCGCTGGCCTCAGTGTAGCATAGTTACGCTGGCCTCAGTGTAGCATAGTCTCCGCTGGCCTCAGTGTAGCATAGTCTTGCCTGGGAGCGCTGTACTCTCATGTACTCAGTTTCCTCCATGTTCGAGTACCACCCGTACTAAATAGTTCTATATGAGCTCTATCAGTTCCCATGAGAATTTTGTATGTCGTAATGATGTCTCCTCAAACTCTTCTGTCTTCCAGCGACTTGGGGTTCACTTCATGAAGTCTCTCCTCGTCTGGTGGACTATTCTAGGGCCATACTTCTGAATATTCTCCAACTTCTTGTGCTTGACTAGATATTGACTCCATGCTGAAGCTGCATATTCCAGGATTGGTCTGACATATGTGGCAGACGAGGATCTGAATGATTCACAAGTTAATATAGGGAGTTGTTATGTTAGCCAGCCTCGCTGCTGATGAAATTCTTTTGATGTGAGTTTTAGAATACAAGTTTGGTGTGAAATCAGACCTCAGATTTTTCTATCTATATATTTCTTAAAGGATTTCAGCTCCGATTTGGTACCTTGTGTCTGTCCTCCTGCTCCTTACAATTAGTTTCGTTACTTTACATTAACTTGTGTTAAACTCTAGTAGCCATTTGTTTGATCATTCTTTTAGATCGTCCGAGACGTTCTGTGCCCCTCTATTGTCTTTCTCAGCCTTAATCCTCCTCATAATTTTTGCATCTCAGAATATATTGAGAGGAACGAGACTGCGGGAAATAATTTTTGCATCACAGTCAAGGGTAGCAGGATCGATTTCCGCAGTAAGACACAAGCGTTTGGGCAACATTTCCATTCACTTCATGCTTTTTTTTCACCTAAACAGGTTATCTGAAAGTTAGACAATTGTGGTGATGGTGTAGCCGTGTTGGAGTGCTAGCTTAGTAGATTTGATAAGAGATAACAAATAGTTAGTCATTACATTAGCCAACTTGCGGTTGTGAAGGCCATGTTCAAGAACTGAAAAATCTCTCATGTATGCAGAAATAGGTCACAAATATAAGAATACTCACATATAAACACAGGCACTTTCCTCTCGATTTCCTTGACCAGGCCTCCACCCCCAGGAAGCAGCCCGTGACAGCTGATTAACACCCAGGTACCTATTTACTGCTAGGTAACAAAGGCATAGGGTGAAAGAAACTCTGCCCATTGTTTCTCGCCGGCGCCTGGGATCGAACCCAGGACCACAGGATCACAAGTCCAGCATGCTGTCAGCTCGGCCGACCGGGAACAAGAGATTTGGAGAACGGAATGGAAGGAGGACAATAGACTGAGATACAGGAGGGAACACGTGAGGGAAGACCCGGGCACTACCGGTTACCTCTAGTCCAACCTATGTGAGACTCATTCATGAGTATGCAGCCCCAACATGGAACCAGCAACCTAAAGAAATACACAATCAGAAAAGGTCCAAATATATGGAACAATGCTTGTTCCAGAGCTAAGGGGATTGAGCTATGAAGACTGACTATCGGACCTTGATCTCATCACACTAAAGGGAAGACAAAATAGTGTAGACATGTTAACGACATCAAAGATTCTAGGGGAAATTGGCCAAGTAAATAGTCAAGAAAATTCTTCAGTTTAAGGTTCATAAATAAGTTGAACAGAGTAGTTAAGACGTTCAAAAGGACTATTCGATGGTCAGTTTTATTCATAAATATATGAAAAACATATGAGAAAAGCATATGTTTGACCCAACACCAGTAGTGGTGGTGTTGGGGGTGGTGTTGGGGTGGTTGTGTTGGGGGTGGTGTTGGGGGTGGTATTGTAGTGGTGGTGCAAGAGTGCTCTCGATAATAGAGGAATTATTTCATAGCCTCTACCAATCTCCCTCTGCAATGAGACGGCTGATGAGTCCTAAGGGAAGGTAAGGGAAGGTAAGGGAGGTAAGGGAAGGTAAGGGGAGGTAAGGGTGGGGTAAAAGATGGGGTAAGAATGGGGTAGGGGAGGGTGAGGGGGAACAGAAGGGGTACCTACGGTGAGAAATGAGAGGTGGGAAGAGGAGAGTTCACTATCTCTTGAACGGAAGGCAGAAGGGGAAGTGAGACAGAGATAATGAGAGAGAGGAGAGAGAGAGAGAGAGAGAGAGAGAGAGAGAGAGAGAGAGAGAGAGAGAGAGAGAGAGAGAGAGAGAGAGAGAGAGAGAGAGAGAGAGGAGAGAGAGAGAGGAGAAAGAGAGAGAGGAGAAAGAGAGAGAGAGAGAAACAGAGAAAAGGGAAAAAGAGAGGCAGGAAATAGGCGACCAAAGCAAAGATACATGATAAAGAAACCAAAGAAAAACGGAAATTATAACGAAAGAACACATAGGAACTCAAATAACCAGAAGGAGAGTGAATAAGATACTGAGTGAGCGAAGGAGTGAAATAACGAGAAAAATAAAATATATTGATGGAAAACTCTCATTCTACCGTTCGAGAAACTCTTATTATAATGCCGAAGAGACCATTATCTGAAGCCCTAAAGAGACCATTATCAAAGACCCTAAAGAGACCATTATCTGAGGTCCTAAAGATACCATTGTCAAAGACCCTAAAGAGACCATTATCTGAAGCCCTAAAGATACCATTGTCAAAGACCCTAAAGAGACCATTGTCTGAGCCCTAAAGAGACCATTATCTGAAGCCCTAAAGATACCATTGTCAAAGACCCTAAAGAGACCATTGTCTGAGCCCTAAAGATACCATTGTCAAAGACCCTAAAGAGACCATTATCTGAGGTCCTAAAGATACCATTGTCAAAGACCCTAAAGAGACCATTATCTGAAGCCCTAAAGATACCATTATCTGAAGCCCTAAAGAGACCATTATCTGAAGCCCTAAAGATACCATTATCAAAGACCCTAAAGAGACCATTATCTGAAGCCCTAAAGATACCATTATCAAAGACCCTAAAGAGACCATTATCTGAAGCCCTAAAGATACCATTATCAAAGACCCTAAAGAGACCATTGTCTGAGCCCTAAAGAGACCATTATCTGAAGCCCCAAAGAGACCATTATCTGAGGTCCTAAAGAGACCATTATTTACAGCGCTTCAGAGACCGCAATCTCCAGTGTCGCAGACCGTATTCTTGGATATTCTTGTGGCCCTCAACATCGCCCGCTTGAGGGACAGCATTTCATTACTTGTACAGCTGCTGGTGATTAAAGAGCAAGGCCACACACACGCCTGGTACAAGCAAGAGCTGTACTGACCAGAGGCGTTTCATTTAACTGTTGTGTCAACAAGGTGGCTTCAATTTAAGCCATGTAACGTCCACGTGTCTTTCATTTAAGCAATTTCTATCCGCGCGAGGAGCTCTTAAAAATTCAACAAGCCGCTCTTCCCACAGCCATCGTCTCGCGCTCTTAGACGCGCTCTTTAGACGCGACTCACGCTCTTTAGACGCGACTCGCGCTCTTTAGACGCGACTCACGCTCTTTAGACGCGACTCACGCTCTTTAGACGCGACTCACGCTCTTTAGACGCGACTCACGCTCTTTAGACGCGATTAGCGCTCTTTAGACGCGCTCTTTAGACGCGATTAGCGCTCTTAGACGCGCTCTTTAGATGCGACTAGCGCTCTTAGACGCGCTCTTTAGATGCGACTAGCGCTCTTAGACGCGCTCTTTAGACGCGACTCACGCTCTTTAGAGGCGACTCGACCTCTTTAGACGCGCCTCGCGCTCTTTAGACGCGACTCACGCTCTTTAGACGCGACTCACGCTCTTTAGACGCGACTCACGCTCTTTAGACGCACCTGGCGCTCTTTAGACGCGCCTGGCGCTCTTTAGACGCGCCTGGCGCTCTTTAGACGCGCCTGGCGCTCTTTAGACGCGCCTGGCGCTCTTTAGACGCGCCGGGCGCTCTTTAGACGCACCTGGCGCTCTTTAGACGCGCCTGGCGCTCTTAGATCCATAACTCTTCCCAGCCAAACAAGAGAGTGAGAAGCGTGTAAATAATTGACTGTACACTTGTGTATTGTAAATGATTTACTGTGCCCCATAAATTATTTTCTGCGACAGTAAATTTACTGTACAGTAAATGACTTAATTTACAGTAAATAAGTCAATTATTTACGGTATATGAATACTTGGTGCTACGTCAGGCGACTAACAGGACAGAGCTGAAACTAACAGCGAGACTTGTGGTCCTGGGTTCGATCCCAGGCGCCGGCGAGAAACATTGGGCAGAGTTTCTAGCAGTAAAATAGGTACCTGGGTGTTAGTCAGCTGTCACGGGCTGCTTCCTGGGGGTGGAGGCCTGGTCGAGGACCGGGCCGCGGGGACACTAAAAGCCCCGAAATCATCTCAAGATAACAGTGTCAGAGCCTTTATATGGTCTCTTAACTGTATTTCGTATGAACAAATCCACCAGGGTTCGAATCTACGTCCGTTTCTTATTAACGTGTAAGCCAAACATGCTCCAAATACGAACCTGTCAAGAGATATGACTGATTTCTCCACGGACTTTATTCCTCTGCTCCATATGTCTTTCTTCTCTCTTCTCTCTCTCTCTCTTGCTTTTTCTTTCTGTAAGATTTCCTTCTCCTTGCTTCTTTTTTGGCTATTTATTGCCTTTGCCTCCTTCCTCTCAGCACAGGAGACATCTCCCGTCACGCAGGGTGCAGTCGCACCTCCACAGATCTCCAGTATCAGCTCTTGATACTGGTAATGGCTCAAAAGGGCCACCACTTACGGGCTATTCATGCCCGTGCCACCTCTTGGGTGGCTTAATCTTTATCAATCTGCCTCTCATCACAATCGACTTGATCCAGGACGGACCGAAACGTCGTCGTCTCTTCACTTTCTAGTTTGTGGTCTGGTAAACACTTCTCTCTCTCCTCTCTGTTGACCAGACCACACACTAGAAGGTGAAGGGTCGACGACGTTTCGGTCCGTCCTGGATAATTCTCAAGTCGATTGTCTGATCAACATACTTTAGCCACTTTATTGGGACTCTTTCTGGACCATTCTCAAGTCGATCTCTCTCTCTTTGTTTCTCATATTCTCTCTTTATCTCTCACGGTCTTTGCTCCCTTCTCCGTCTATCCTTACCTCTCCTTACATCCACCACTTTCCTCAAATCCAAAAATAAATCTGAGACATCTGGAGAAGTCTTGGGATTAAGAAAATTTATCCTTCGCTTTAAAAATTGGTTCCTAATTCCTCCCAGCGTCGTCGGCTCTCAATACAAGGACCTTCGAAATTAAAAAAAGAACTTTGGTACAAAAAATGAGAATGAATCCCCAAGGAAATTGAGTTTTATTTTCCACTGGACTGCTGATTCTCGTGACTGACGTTCTTAAGAAGTTCCAATAATCTTTTTCTCATGAGGAGGAATATATAGATGAAGAGGGAAAGAAGAATAAAGATAAGGAGAAAAGGAATTTGCAATAGGAGGAGGAGGAGGAGCTATAGATAAAAGAGTCAGTAGCCACAATGTGTCTCTGATGCTGTGGAGAGAGAGAGAGAGAGAGAGAGAGAGAGAGAGAGAGAGAGAGAGAGAGAGAGAGAGAGAGAGAGAGAGAGAGAGAGAGAGAGAGAGAGAGAAGACAGAGACGAGAGAGAGAGAGAGAAGAGAGAGAGAGAGAGAGAGAGAGAGAGAGAGAGAGAGAGAGAGAGAGAGAGAGAGAGAGAGAGAGAGAGAGAGAGAGAGAAGACAGAGACAGAGAGAGAGACAGAGAGAGAGAGAGAGAGAGAGAGAGAGAGAGAGATAGAGAGAGAGAGAGAGAGAGAGAGAGAGAGAGAGAGAGAGAGAGAGAGAGAGAGAGAGAGAGAAGACAGAGAGAGAGAGAGAGAGAGAGAGAGAGAGGAGAGAGAGAACAAGAGCAGAGAGAGAGAGAGAGACAGAGAGAGAGAGAAGACAGAGAGAGACAGAGACAGAGACAGACATATAGAGAGAGAGAGAGAGAAGACAGAGAGAGACAGAGACAGAGAGAGAGAGAGAGAGAGACAGACATAGAGAGAGAGAGAGAGAGAGAGAGAGAGATAGAGAGAGAGAGAGAGAGAGAGAGAGAGAGAGAGAGAGAGAGAAGACAGAGAGAGAGAGAGACAGAGAGAGAGAGAGAGAAGACAGAGAGAGAGAGAGAGAGAGAGAGAGAGAGAGAGAGAGAGAGACAGAGAGAAGACAGAGAGAGACAGAGACAGAGAGAAGACAGAGAGAGACAGAGACAGAGAGAGAGAGAGAGACAGACATAGAGAGAGAGAGAGAGAGAGACAGAGAGAGAGAGAGAAGACAGAGAGAGACAGAGACAGAGAGAGAGACAGACATAGAGAGAGAGAGAGAGAGACAGAGAGAGAGAGAGAAGACAGAGAGAGAGAGACGGAGAGAGAGAGAGAGAGAGAGAGAAGACAGAGAGAGAGAAAGAGAGAGTTGAGAGGTTGTTAAAGGAGGTCATTGACGTGTGAGGGCTTATCTTGAGATGATTTCGGGGCTTTAGTGTCCCCGCGGCCCGGTCCTCGACCAGGCCTCCACCCCTAGGAAGCAGCCCGTGACAGCTGACTAACACCCAGGTACCTATTGTACCGCTAGGCAACAGGGGCATAGGGTGAAAGAAACTCTGCCCATTGTTTCTCGCCGGCACCTGGGATCGAACCCTGGACCACAGGATCACAAGTCCAGCGTGCTGTCCGCTCGGCCGACCGGCTCCCCTGTTATGAAAATCAATTTAGTTGCCGTGGAGGCACTTGAAGAGTGAGTTGACACCTGTTGTGTGAGGGGGGGGGAGAGTGGTTATCGTTTCATGAGTCAGGATGATATATTAATGAGGTGTTATCTCACCAGTGTTGCCGGCTATGCACTCTGCTCCTCTTAGTTACCAAGTGATATCGTAGAAGCTGCCTCATTAATAGGAGTTGTAATAGCATGAGTCTATAGGAATCTTTATAACATGGGTCAATAGGAGCTACGATAGCAAGGATCAATAGGAGCTGCCAAAGCATAAGTCAATAGGAACTAGGAGCATGGGTCAATAGCAGCTACCATATTATGGGTCAATTGTAGCTACTATAACATGGGTCAATAGGATGTAACAACCCAGCATGCTCCAATAAAATCTCTCTTAACATGGGTCAATAGGAGCTACGATAACTTGGGTCAATAGGCCACGACTAATCGACTGAGCTACGACTTGGTATAACAATCTTTGTGGATTTGTTCATTTGATGCATCATGCTATTGTGATATCTGTGTGAATAACATATTATGTTCATTAAGAACAAATCCACAAGGGCCGTGACGAGGATTCGAACCTTCGTCCGGGAGCACCCAAGACGCTGCCTTAATCGACTGAGCTACGACAGGGTTAAAAGAGTTGAAACCGAAGTTATGTGTAATATAATGTTCATTGTACCGTGAAAAGGGTAACCGGTCATATAAATTAATGAATGTATATTTAAGTTAAATGTAATTATGGTGTTTATAGCAGCATGCATCAAAATAACTTGACACGAAAGTTCGTCAAGGGAGACATTCGTGATTCGTCTATCAGATTCGGTCGCAGCATCGTGATAAATCGTGTCTGAATGGTCTGCGTTGAAAGACAGTCGTCGTTTCGATAATGACCGACAAACTGGTAAACAGTGTCGGCTTACAGCCACAGGGGAACACCCTATAGAGGAGAACTGAGCTCTATCAGCTCTACGCACTCGATACTATAGAGGAAATCACTTTTAAGTAAACATGGGGATGTTTTCAACATATTTTTTCAATAGATCGCTTCAGGAATTGAGTCTCGTGCGATATCAGGCTATCAGGATGGCAATAAATGAGGAAGATAAAAAGATAACAAAGTTTGGACATTTGCCAATTAACTTTGGATGCAATAAGTGATTCTTAATTAATATTGGTTGGCAACAGAATAATATAAATTATTTATCAACACATTAGCTAATTTAATTATATGTTTTTTTATTTTAAGTAAACACTATCTACACAGAGGGAGTAAAGCCAGCTGTAGCAGTGTATAGGATAAATCATGTAT